ATCATGAAGGATTTTTTTCTGATATTTTGTATTTGTTTTTCTTTCGAAGAAAGTCTGATGAGACATGGAACAAATTTGTTTTTGTTTTTTTGGCCAGTATTTATAATATGTACTTAGTAATCATGAAGGATTTTTTTTTTGGCCAGTATTTATAATACGATAGTAATACTTTGTTGTACACAGTTACGCAGCATTTGTGCATTTGGAAAAATACTTCATTGTGAATACTTTCACCTTTGGATACTCTCTGTCGTACACGATGATTTTACCGATGAGTTTTTTCCTCTTTTTAAGAATCAGATTTTTTTTTTAAACATCCCACGTTTGTGTGAGTCCCCTGACGGAGATTTATGAAATGTCTTTATACCAGATTATCTCCTGGTCAACCGTGGCGGTGCCAGGTTGGCGTGGCTGGCACGCTCACGCTCTGGCTCAGAGTCTCAGCGTTCGGGCAGGCGGCCAGTTTTGGTGCAGCCTCTCGGCAGACAGAATGGCACAGTTGGCAGAGATCACTGAGGATCAGGACACGCCAGACTGAGTGGTAGTGGCCCAGACAGGTTGGTGTAGTTGGCGAGGCTGGTGACTGCCGGTCAAGTCAAGGTGAAGGTGAAGGTGAAGGTGGCTCCAGCCGACGCTGATCACATGACTGTTGAAAAAATGTTAAAAAAACCAAACCCTTAGATTTGTGCGTCTGCATTTTTGTGAATGTCGACACACGCTGCTGTTGCATTAATGAAGGCTGCGCCTCGTCACTGTGCACCAGGTGTGTATTCACTCAACCAGACACTCCTGTTTCCTGCACGATCTGTGCCATCTTGTCTTCTTGCCAGGCATAAGTTACTCACCCCTCCCTCCCCCTTTCCTTTCCTTCCTTTTCCATGTGGAGATCACGTATGTTATTCGCTCGAAGGTTTGTCAACACTTACTGTTTTGTTTTTTTTTCTTACTAGAGGAATTAGTAAAATAAACAGGAGAAAAGTAACGACATGTATATGTAGAATACCTGTCCTGTATTTGGGGGATATATTTGTGTCTGTTGCTGTGGGTCAGTGAGTATTCAAATATCCATCAACTGTGTACTCCAGTCCGAGACTCTTCCAGTACTCCAGTACCGTCTCACTCTTTTTGTTTGGATCAGCTGCTATGGCGACTACATTAATGGTACACTTCCTGTTGGTGAAATTACACGTTACCACCAGATTACATGTTATTACATATCCCTCGTCCCAACTGTCGACTCAGGAAGCAGAAAATGTGGCAGATCTTCGATGCCCGTAAAAACAAAAAAGGTGTTTCGTTTGTCCACCGCAGGCTACTGCGAAAACAAAGCAGTCTGTGAAAGGTAGGACGCCCCCCCTCACCCTTCCCCCCCCCTCCCCCCCCCGATTTCATCAACTCAAGAGTGTGGACACAGGACACTGCCTCACAGTGGTCCAGGTTGAGAAATGCAGAGACTCCTCACATTTTGTCAAAATAACTTGATAAAAAAACTCGGCTGTGGTCGCTCCATGACTGACAGTTTGACAGCTGAGACGACTGATGTTCCAAAAGTCACTGATGTCACAGCTCACTGTTACTGTGGCCTTGATGTTGAACACGTTAAAGGTTGGTCACTTCCTGGTCAAATGAGGCCAAAGTGTCTGTTTGTTTCGTTTTATTTTTGTAGTTCAGGTGACATTTTTGTAGTCATTTCCTGTGAATTTTTTTTTGCCCAGTTACTGATTGTCCTGCTCTACGACAGTCCTGCTGTACTGCAGTAGTTCAAAGTTTCTGTCGTCACACACTGAAGTACTTCCTGTTACTGTGCGTTGAAACTTTTTGATTTGCTGCTGAAGTTGGTTTTAATGACCGTCGGAGAGAAAAACCTGAACCTTCAGGGACCTGAGGGTCGTTAGAGGAACTGAGGTCAGAGGTCGAACACCTTCAGGTCTTCAGTGTGTGTGTGTGTTGGGAGGACTGGCCTGTCTTTCACCCATCAAGCTCTGGTGTCATCTTTCTACCATCTGCCACCATACTGACACACACACACACACACACACACGCACACGCACAGATCCAAATAATGCATCCAGCTTAGTCAATGCAAATCTTTTCCTCTCCTCCCCTCTCCTTTCCTTTCCTTTCCTTTCCTCTCTTCTCCTTTCCTTTCCTTTCCTTTCCTTTCCTTTCCTCTCCTTTCCTTTCCTCTCCTTTCCTCTCTTCTCCTTTCCTTTCCTTTCCTTTCCTTTCCTTTCATTTCCTTTCCTTTCCTTTCCTCTCTTCTCCTTTCCTTTCCTTTCCTTTCCTTTCCTTTCCTTTCGTTTCCTTTCCTTTCCTCTCCTTTCCTTTCCTCTCCTTTCGTTTCCTCTCCTTTCCGTTCCGTTCCCTTTCCTCTCCTTTCCTTTCCTTTCCTTTCCTCTCCTTTCCTTTCCTCTCCTTTCGTTTCCTCTCCTTTCCGTTCCGTTCCCTTTCCTCTCCTTTCCTTTCCTCTCCTTTCCTCTC